ATGTGATAACACATGGCTTTCTATTGCATCCTTTTGCAATGCGTTGAATTCTACTTGTTTTTCTGCTTTTGGTTTGCTCTTTTTGTAATCTTCTAGCTGCAAAAAGAAAACTGAAAAAAAAAAGTGTGAAAAGAAATTAGTTAGAAATTAAAAGGATGCTTCCCCACAAGGGACAATCCTTGAGACTAAAGGGTGAAATAGATATATAGAGTTGGTCCTTTCAAATTCAGCGCCTAGCTAGGACCATGTGCATGTGCTTCTTCACACTTTCAAAGTCCGCAAACAACAAATAATAATAATAATAATGACGACATGATTTTACAAAGAAAACTCATCCACAGGACCCGGGTAAAAAATATTCTCAAATTTCTTTTTAAAGTAAAAATGTAGTATTAGTAGGTTTTTTATTTATCATCAAAAATGATTTATTCTGTATATTTTTTTTTTATTTTAATCTAATCTAACAGTAAAAAAATATGCACATCTTTCTGAAGAAACAATGAAAATAAGCTCCTTCCATGTGTGATTTTTGAGATAGAAAACTTTGATCAACATATTCTTGTTTGTCCAGGTCATTCACGCATCAAGGACTTGGCCAAATGTCGTTTCTCAAAGCTTCATTCACAAAGCGTGTGTCCTGTCAAAATGACAACTCAAAAAATAAGACTAGAAAAAGGGTATTTAGTTTAGGGTGGTCAAAACTCTAATAAGGGCTCGAAGCTCAAATTAGGTAAGGCATATAGAGTTTTATAAAGATGTGAAGTATAAGCATCCAACTAGAGAAAGCCAGATAACTTCCTTTCCTTTATTCTTTTTTGCTTTCCACCGAGACCTCAATCATCAACCGCATTTGGATCACAAAAGGACTATTTAAGTAAATTGCTTTTTCTATCTAAAATGAAACACCAAAAATTTCTTTTCGGGAGTTTCTCTCATAGGTTTTAAAAAATAATTATCGGTAATTTATTGTTTTTAGCCGTCAAATCTAATCAAAATTACATGATAATTTTTAATAAATCTGGCGTTAAAAGCATAAAATTATATGTTGCTCCCCCCATTTTTTTAAAAAAAAAAAAAAAATTTAAAAAAAAAAAAAAAAAAAAAAAAAAAAAAAAAAACTAACTCAAAGCTTACACAAAATAAAATAACAAAATTAAAAACTAGTGGTTCATACTAGTCAAATTAGCAATATTTGCATACCTTAAAAGTTAAAACCATTTGCATTTTGAACTTGAAGAGTATAAGCCTTGATCTCATTTCTTGAATCATTATCCATGGTTTTTCTCAATTATCAAGAGCAGCCAAGTTAACCGAAGCATCTTTTTATGTACAAGATTCAATTATTGTTGAGATTGTCAGTTTGTTACTTTTCACATTTTTCTGCTGAATCTGCCCATGAAATATTACTATTATTTGTTGCATCACTTTCCTCGATGAGCCGCACAATTAGACTGATATATTGTAACTCCCGGTGACTCATGTACATCCTCTTTTTAATTATTTAATTATTTATTATTATTATTATTTGCAGTTTGTTGCTCAAAAACCCTCATCAGTTGAATCAGCATTCTTCTTATCCTTAATCCGGGCCACAAGCACGTCCGAATTTATCTACTCCACGGAATATACAATTCTTTAGTTTCAATTCACTAATTAAAAATTAACGTTATTCCTTGTCATTCTTTGTCCCTCCGTTATTTTTGTCAGAGAATTCTATGGTAGGATTGGAGAAAAAGAAACTATTAATATAAAACATAGTCTTAAATTATTAAGACCATGTTTATTTTATCGATTCGAGTTTTGCTACAGTAAAAAGTTATCAGAAACAGTCACATTTAACTTTTTTACTATAGTAAAAAAACTCATATAAAATCACATCTCAACTTAAATTAAAAATTTAAATCAGCAAACTAAATGACCTCAAATCACGTCATAATTACATAAGAAATTGAGAAAATAATTTAAAACTGCTATTAGTGGTGATTTTTTTTTTCCTTACCCTATCAAAAGGTTATCCGTTCTTACCATCCACTTTACACGTTTTTCCCTGTTTAAGATCAAAGAACCTGCCCAGCACGCGTTTAATCATTACAAGCCCTAAAAACATCAACGTTAGAATTCAGTTATGATTGAACCATAAAAGTGAATATCAGTTTGTCGCCTCTTAATCTTTTTAACTAATTTAATTAATCGTCTAATTCTAAGCCACAAAGCCTTTGTCCAATTCTTGGCTAATAGTCAAAACAATAATTCTGACGGAACTCAAGAAAAGGTAAAATCTTGTGTGGTTTTGTCAAGGTCGTTTTGGTTTCTTCTCATCACGTTGGTGAGACATCACTTTTGGACAAAGACGGCAAAACTGGCCTGCTCTTATCAGCATCTTTGCTAGGTTGGATGATTGACCAAATTTAGGCCTTGCTTTCTGCTTAAGCAATTTTGGCATTTTCCCTCCATTAGAGGTGAAAGTTCGGACCAACTAACCCGGTCTGACTCTAAAAGTGATAGGGTTGGCCTAACCCAACAAGCCTAGTGCCTATCCGGCCTAAAATTTTTATAAGATATTTTTAAAAAAATATTAAAAGAATGTGTTTGGGCCATGCCAATCCGACCCAAATAAGTGTTCGAGCTTAAAACCTCGGCCCAAAGGTTAAGGCCAGGCCCAAGCCTTAGAGTGGCCCATTTAACCAAACCCAAACTTGCAGCTCTACCATCCACTATTAAATTATTGTGTGTTTTCTGTTATATCAAATTTAAGTATGTCATAGATCCAGTAGTGGTATGTTACAACAAGTGCAACGTTTTTCATACCAATTTGTGACTTTTTAGTGTAATATGACAATATTGAAGCAATTTACATGTAATATAGCAGTAGATTACGTTGAGTGGTACACATTGACAAAATGAGTGTTACATGAATGTGCGAACAAAAAAAGTTACATTTGCCAGACCGGTATCGCTACTGGATTGAAGACATTTCCATAGTGTCGAAGGGTGGTCATTTTTATGACCGGAAGAATCGGCCCCTGTTAGAGCAAGCTGATATGGAAGAATAGCCTGAACAGGCCTAGCACCTAGTCCGAACAGGCCGAACACATGGTCCGTACAGGCCGAACAAGGAAGAACAGCCTGAACAGGCCAAGCACCTAGTCCGAACAGGCCGAATAGGCCAACAAGGAAGAACAACCCGAACAGGCCGAGCCCCTGGTCTGACTAGGTCGACAAGGAGGAACATCCCGAACAAGCCGAGCACCTGGTCCGAACAGTCCAAACAGGCTGAAGGAAGAACAACCCGAACAGGCCGAGCCCCTGGTCTGACTAGGTCGACAGGGAGGAACATCCCGAACAAGCCGAGCACCTGGTCCGAACAGTCCAAACAGGCTTAGCATAACAGTGCTAGAGATCCGTCCTGAGCAGTGCTAAGACCCGAGCAGAACAATGCTAGAGATTCGTGCCGAACAATGATATGGATCTGACCAGAAGAGGCAGAGAACAGAATCTGATTACCATGTTGTGCCGGATTTTGGCATCAACACATAGGATTCAAAAGTATGGTTTCGTTAATTATGCTCAGCTTTACCTAATTCAAATACATCTTCAATTCCTTTTCCTTTTCATTTCTTTTTTCTCTCTTTTTCTCTTTCATTATTCTTATACTAGTTTGCAATCTTGTTAGAAAAACACAATTTTTGTTTCTTTATCGCCTCTTTTCTTTCTTTTTTTTTCTTTAAATAATACAATAGAGTATTTTCTTATTCTAAAATCCAAATGGACAATCAAAATCAATGAATCTTTGTTGTTGTTTATTTTTTTGTCGTTGTATCTCAGTTTTTTTGTTTCTTTTTTTCCTTGATGCTTTTATTAGTTTGCAAAAAGTCAGCCGAGTTCAAGTCTTCTCTCTCTCTCTCTCTCTCTCTGTGTTTTTTTTTCGCTCCTTTTTTTTTTTTTTTTTTTTTTTTGCTTGAATATTTTTCTTTGTTTTTGCTTGAATATTTTTTCTTTGTTAGAGATAGACAAGTTCAAGTCGATGTCAACCCCCGAGTCCTCTGAGAGTTTCTCGTTTGCTCTTATATGCCTTGTACAGGATAAATTTTGTTTGGTAGTATTTATCCTTTTCTTTTTCTCCTCATTTTTTGCGTTTTATTTAGTGCTTTTTTGCTAAAAATTTGGTGCTTTAATTCATACTAGGTTGGTAGATAGCTAACGTGTAACTGAAAAATCATGGTTTGCTTCCCAATAAATAACAAATAAATTCTTCCGCCTTTAAAAAAAAAAAAAAAAAAAAAAAAAAATTCTGACATTCTTCAATCAGGCACCTGCTCCCTGCGGCTGAATCCAAGGCCAGTATCTTCTAACGGCTATATCTTGTAATAGCCGTTGTAAGATAGCCGTTACTTCCAACTAGATTCACTTATTCATTTATTTCCTATTACACATTTAGTTCATGGATTAGAATCATGAGATTAAAATTATTTTTGATTTATATGTATTTTTTATGAGAAAAAATACTGTAACGAACTATGAATCATGATTCGAATCGAGGTACGAATCCCCTAACCAAAATATTTTTGTCATTCATGACAATATTTCTTCTTTAGGTTAGATCTAAATCAACTATTATTCTTAAAGGAACCGCTTTACAAGTTAAAGCCTGTATAACTGTAAAGCTGGTATTCAGAATCACAGAAAAATAATATTCCAAGCCTTTTTTGATATGGATGAGAAAAGAAAGGGTCAAATAAAAATAAAATTTATATTACACAAAACTTGAAGACAAAAGAACAATGAACATGAAGAAAAATAATAACAAAATGCAAAGAGTCCTCCAGCAACTTCTTTTTTAGTTACAAACCTGTTTTTTAAAATAGGGTATTTCTCTGCCTAAAACTCAGCTAATGTTTTTCCTTATCAAATTCTAATGAAAACAAACAAACTTAGAATACACCAAATCCAAACACCCTTATATATAATAATAATAATAAATATAAGAAAAGTCACCTTAAATACATCATCACACAAGCCTAATCAGAGAGTTATCAGCAAAGGTTGGGACTATCATCATCATCATCATCATCGCATCATCAGTGTATGGAATCTATGTTCTTACTCAGCTCCTCCAGCTTCTTCAGCCTCAACTTCTCACTTTCACTCACCAGCTGCTCAAAATGTTCATCCCAAAAAGAAACAATCTCAGACATTAATAATAAGCAAACGGAATTATGCGGTAGGGTACGAAAACGCACTTTCAAACCGCCATATCATATCAAAATCATATCAGTATAAAGAAATTTAATAAGAATCTAACAGTCCAAAACTGTGCCTACAGAGAATTGGATTTGAAGACCTATTTGATGGTTTTACTAAACTAAGAAAATAATACTTAGCTTAGGCACTAACCTCCATTAGTTTGGTAATCAGCTGTACTTTTTCCTTGTTCTTTTCGTTAAAGGCCTCAAGGGCTTCTTTGTATTCTTTCTCCTGTCACATTACGATAGACAAAACAAAAACCCATAATTTTAAGTTGTCGTGAAAATAAAATAAAATAAAATAAATCCCATTTCATTAGCACTAAAACGTATGGCAAATTAGTATTATTAACCTTCTTTTGGCAGGTATGGCCTAGTGGCTTTAATTCTTTGTTTACTGCATCAATCTTCTTACGGACAAGGGCAACTTCCTTCCTCATTGGATCTGCAAGCGCTTCAAGCTCCTGAAAATTCCATAATTCTTCAATTAAATCCCATAAACAAGATAAGAACATATATCAAAAAAATAAGAAACAAAAAGAAAAAGAAAAATAACCGTACGGACATGGTTCAAAGATATGATGTTGTTATGCAGACATAAAAAGGAATAATTAACATCCACCTTTAATTGAAAGAATTTTGACCAAATGAACCCTCAAAATTCTCGGAAAATAGTAGTAAGAGCTTCTTTTGCCATGAAAATCAAAAAGGGCTAAACAAACTTTCCTGGTAATGGGTAAATTTCAAATTTTTTAATTGCCCAGGTCATGAATTTTGCTCAAAGACAATTCTACTATCCTTTAACCAAAAGGCTCAAGAAAAAACACCAAAAAAAAAAAAAAAAAACCCTAAACTTTGCCTGTCCAAATTTTCTGGGAACCATATACTTAAATATTTATAAATCCAGCTAAAACCCCAAAAAAGCTGACGAAATTTCTCCAATAAAACCAAAAAGAAAAAAAAAAAGCTCATAAATTTTTTTTTAAAAAGAAATATTTTATCCAAAATTCCCTACAGATTCACAAAATTCCGACCTCAATTTAGCCCTCCTTTCACCAAAATCACCAATCCCATAACAAAAAATAAAAAAATAAAAACAAAAAACAAAATCTAACATGAACCCTAAAATCTGCCTAAAAAACCCAGAAGAAAAATTACAAAAATTTTACCTCACGAATCATGGCCAAGCGCTTGGTCTCTTCTTCGACGCGACCCAACTGGGCCTGAACTCTCTCTCTGACCTCCATCCTCTTCCTCTCGATCTCCTCTTCCTTCGCTCTGAAAGTCGACAGCGCCGACCGAGACATCTCCTCGTCTTCTCTCGACAGATTGCTGCTGTTGAAGCTCAGACTTCCCGAGTTCTGAATCATCAATTGCTGCTGAAGTTGCTGATTCTGACTTTGCTCGCTCGTCTGCATCTTCTCCTTCTTCTTTTTCTTCTTCTTCTTCTTTTCCTTGGAATTCTTCTTTCTCTTTCTCTTTCTCTTTCTCTCTGTTCAACCTTGTTTGTTTTGTGTTATCTTCTTTTTCTTTTCTCTTTCTCTCTCTTTTTTCTCTTTTGCTTTTGCTTTGAAATGATGGGTGTGGTGCTCTGTTAGTTTCTTTCTTTCTTTCTTTCTCTTTCTTTTTCTTTATATTTATATTTTTCTTGCCCTGTTTTGGGTGCTTATAAGCAAGCCTGGCTGGGCTGGCCAAGGATTTTTCTTTTTTTTTCAAAGTTTGTATTACATTTTACACTCCAGCTTAGCTTTCATTTTATAATTTTGATTTTTTGGTGGGGTTAAAATAGAAATATATAAAATAATAAAGATGAAAAGAATTAATAAAAAAAAAAGGTTTGGGCTGAAATGACCCTACTGGTGCCAACTGCTGATAAAGATGCTGGGTTGGGTTTGGGGAGAAATTAACGACTTTTCTGATTTTTTTTTTTTTTTTGTGCGTGTTCAAGAAAATTCAAAATTTGTCTTTATAAAAATTTTCCAGTTTATATTTTTGAGTTAAGATAACTTGAGTGATAATCTTAAATTAAGTTTGAGTTATAACTTGAGTTGAAGTTATAACTTAGTATTTGGATGTGCACATTTGAGTTATGATTTAAATTGAGAATTTATTTGAGTTTGTGTTTAGGTGGGTCAAAACTTAAATTTGTATTTATATAGTATTTTAAGAAAAACTCAATGGTGATGAAAAATTTTAATAGGTTATATGGGTGGGGTTTTATTCGTCTTTTCGTTGTGAATGCATAGAAAAAAAATCATCTCAATCAGAATTAAAACGAAAAAGTTATGACATTTTTAAGAATAGAAAAAATACTGTTCATTAACTTGAGTTCGAGTTTATGAACTTGAATTGAAGGGGAAATTTGAACTCGAGTTTTGCCCTAAACTCGAGTTCAAACTCAAGTTCAAACTCGAGTTCAAATTCAAAGTTTACAAAAGAACATAAACTTGAATAAAGTTGTAACTCGAGTTCAAACTTTTTCAGAGTTTCATTATAAAAAAACAACCCCTAAAACTCTCAAGGCAACTCCAAATCTTTTTTCTTAAAGTATTTTTCCACATCTAATCATTATTCAAATTAAGTAAATATTTTATCAATTATAGAAGGTGTCACATAAATAATCACGAAGAGATAGTATCCACGTGACAATTTCCTATAAAATGAATTACATCACGTACGTTTTGCTAACTGGAATATAAAAATTATATATATAAATAGTTCAAAAATGTTTAAATTAATTTTTTAAAGGAAAATTACATTTAATTAAAAACTGATAAACAGTTATTTCGGTACAATACTAATGGCTTATTAGAGGGACAGACGCACGCCTAAAGCCCGAAAACAAGAGAACACATCAGCACACTAACAAGGAGCACACATAAAGCTCAAATTGAAAAAACCCTCCCATCAAGATAGTGCTTTCAAGCATTGGAGGAACAAATTACCAAACTCCACAAAAATGGGACATCTACACGATATAGAAAAAATTCTAGCCGGACCAAGATAACCCTATCAGAAGACATACAAACGACCTTAAGCCGATCACTAAAAACTAAAAACAAACAGTACGAAAAATGAGAATCCAGTGGGGAGACCACTATCCTTATTACAAACACGAAAATTACATAAGAAAAATAGAAAAAACCTTTGGCCACCACATTTAGAAGCCTCCAATGAAGGGCAACCGGCCAATGTGTCGTCAAGAGAGAAAGCCGGCCAAGAGATCTCAGCCACCAAACGACCAACTTGACTGGAAATGAAGCCCATCCGTTCGGCTTTTAAGCTCCATACCGGTTTAGATCTACCCAAACGAAGCCACCACACTGTACACCGCTACTACTAATGAGAAGCTCATGACAAGACGAGACGAGCTGAATGACCAAATTTCATGGCCGAGAGCCCGGAGGCAGCTCCAGAACTCCGGCCGTTGTTCACTCTTTTTTTTCTGGTTCGTGTGGGGGAGAGAGAGAGAAAAAAAAGTTTGGAAAACCCATGTTACCCCTAATTTGGTGAAAAGGTATCTTATCATAGAGATTTTTTTTTACAGGACAAAATTGGAATTTGACGTTTTAACTACCTTTTAAAAAAAAGAAAAAGAAAATGTTGATTTTATATATTATAAACTGCACAATTTGGATGATGGACGTCACTCGTTAAAAGTAGTTATTTTCTGAGTTGGTAGATGGACAACTTCAACGAACTGTTTCGGTTAATTCACCCACATGGTATGACTTTTCAGAGAGGCGTAGTACAAAGGAAATTTTTTTAATTATACTACCACACAATAGTCTTTTATCTTCAAGTATCTATATTATCTAGTATTTTTTTTAATTAACTAAACTTGTAATGGAGTTAATACTAATTTTTCACGTTCAGAGTTGAAAATTTGTGAATTCATATAATAGTATAGTTTATTTTTGATATAGTAGAGATTTTGAATTTGAAGTAAGAGTACTTAAGAAATACAAACTTAAGGTTAATTGAATGTTTTCAAAAGTACCATGTAAATGTAGTAATTAAAATAATTTCATGGGGGCAAGTTAAGGAAAAGAAATGTAAAAACTTTTGAACGAGGAGTAAAATATAAAAGGAGTTAGTGGACTCAGAGAACAGCTGCCTCTTCTCAATCTCACTTACTAATTCCGTTCTTAGTCAGAAACTTGCATTATCAATAAGAACTACAAAATGACTCCTATAAACTATGGTGCAAGTAGAAGGATGTTTTTGTCCATTTTCCAAGGACAAAACTCTCATTTAATTGGGGTTCCATAATTTGGACTTTGGAGTATAAGGACAAATGATATTAAAGGCTTTTGGTACCATAAAGGAGAGAATCTTCAATCCAACCTTATGATGAAGTAGATAAGGCACTACCAAGTCCCAAAAGGAGTTTGTGGTAAATATTTGCTGACAATACCAACACCTAAGGTATAGGGGGTGTGTTCATATGGGCGAGTTTAATAGTCCTCTAAATTTTAGAAAATTTATCGTTAGTTGTACTGAAAAGAAAAAATTATTACACAAAGTAATTGAGTGTTTAGTAAACTGTAATCATATAAGTATTGATTCCAGGAGTATTAGGAATATTATCAAAGTTTTATTAATTGTACTTCAAGGTGATTGCTGCACAATCTAAAAATCAAAGTTGCCTTTAGGTTGCTTATGATTTTAACTGTAAGTTCTTCAAAAAAATTTTAAAAATCATTTTTTATGGTTTTTACCAAACACAAATTTTAACTATGGATAGCTAAAAAATTGATTTTAAGCTCTAAGAATCACTACTAAATATACCCTCGGGTTGTTCTTTTGCAACAAAACTCAGAAAAAGTTTAAACTCAAGTTACAACTTTATTTAAGTTCACGTTCTTTTAAGTTTCAACTTTATTCAATTTTACTCAACTTTATTCAAGTTACAATTTTAACTCAAGTTATAATTTAAATTTAACTCAAAAATTACACTTAAATTACACTCTAAAAAAACAACCCATATGTGGTGTTGTGCTTAAGATAAACGTTTGGTGTGGAGTGGACAGAAAGGGTCACCAACACAAACGCAACACAAATGGGGAGGGGATATAATATGCCAGAGAGGCGTAAGAGCCAAGGCGAAGTTGGAGAAAAAAGCCACTGGCGGCAGATTGGCTAACCTTTATGACAAATGTCAAAAATATCATATTCTTTCCAGTTTGGACCTTCAAAGCAAGGATCCCCATTATCTCTTTGTTTAATCTCTCTCTTTTATCTCCCTCTCTTTCGGCTTTGCATTCCTTTTAAGGAGCCCTCAACTTGGGATATCCCTTCTCATAGAACATTTTTTTTTTTAACATTAAATCGGCTCAAAATCTCATCAAAATATAAATATAAATTACATGCAATAAAACTTGTTATAAATCTAACTATTCAAAACAGAATCCTACATGTTAGGAAAAGAAAAACTATGTAGAAAAATTCTCGTTCTTTTATTTATTTAATATATTTTTTATTCATATCTTTTTAATCAAATAACTATATAAGTCGAAATGATATTAATCAAGAATCAAGTAAATTTAGTAAAAATGGCATAAATAGGATTTGCATGGCACACATGTAAATATTATATTTTATATATTAGACGTATCTCCTTGAAATGTCGTAAACATCAAATATCGGTAATTGAATAAATGTTGAGTAATTATGGAGTATCCTTTAAGACAATACTAATAATTTGGCCAAGCTATTTGACCTTTCTGAGATAATTATAGTTTTTTCTTATGGTTTTTGAGCAAGCACGTTCACATTAATATGTCTTTCTGTGATTATAACATAATGGGTTAGTATATAAGATTTATTTATCTTCTTTTCCAAATTTCTTATATTAGGTGGCGTGATTGAGTCAAGATGTACTTTAATTATTCTACAAAATGACACAATAAATCCCTTGTTAATGGGTCTCATGTCCAACTTTATTTTCCTATACTTCCTCTCCCTTTCCAAGCTGTGGAGGAGTGGTGTGGGGGACCATTTCACAATTTGACAATATCAAAATAATAATAATAATAATAATAATAACAATACTACTAATAATAATATGTTGTGGGGTAACTTTATGAGGATTGAGAACAATTTAAACATTTGGATATGAATGGTCTAGATCATAGGATCCAAATCCATTAGCGGGCCCCAGGAATCTTTCTCACCTATGGCCATGGTGGGTGATCAGCATGCAGTTTTCCTAATTTTTTAATGATGATTTTTTAGCTACAAAGACAGGAACTTTTACCTAATGCCAGGGTCAGTTTTTTTTTTTTTTTTTTTTTAAAGAAAAAAAAAAGGGTATGACGTGTCATGCCCACTTCAGATTTTCAAGTGGATGCAATGCAGCTGTAAATATTTTGATCCCGTTTGGTCCACACTGTCCCAAAAAAATTTTAAAAAAAAATTCTCGCTAGCAGTTCGTTCACAAAAAAATTTTAATATGAATCAAAAGGGGGCCTTCGTCTGGGAA